TTTCTTTGGATTTAGCCGGAGATTGAATTTTTGCATGATGGCAAAGATTTCCCGGAGGTCGTCGGCGTGAGTGCTTGCCTTCTTACTTTTGACGATCATATCGTCAACGTAAGCCTCCATGGTGCGTCCTAGGACAGCCTGAAAGACTCTGGCCACCATTCGGGTGTAGGTGGCGCCAGAATTCTTGAGGCCGAAGGCCATCACAAGGTAGCAGAAGATACCTTCGGGTGTCATGAAGGCAGTTTTCTCAGCGTCTTCCTCATGCATGTAGATTTGATGATACCCTCGGAATGCGTCGAGGAAGGACATGATTTCGCATCCCGCGGTCTCATCAACCAGCTGATCAATGTTTGGCAGTGGGAAAGGGTCCATGGGGCATGCCTTATTCAGATCCGTATAGTCCACGCACATGCGGAAGGTAGGAGGCTTCTGTGCGAGGACTACGTTTGCTAACCAAGAAGGGTATTTCACCTCCTTGATGTGTTTGATAGAGAGGAGCATGGCCACCTCCTTTTTCACAAACTCCCTTCTCTCAGCCGAGAGGGGTCTTCTCCGCTGTTGTACTGGTCTGGCCGAAGGGTCCACCGCCAGGCGGTGGGTGATAACCCTTCGGTCAATTCCTGGCATATCCTCCGGCCCCCATGCAAAAACAATGGAGTAGGCGCGGAGGGCCTTGGTGATGCCAGCCTTCAAGTCTTCGGGGAGCTTGGCTCCAATCTTCAGGACTCTCTCCGGCTTGGCCGGATCGAGTATCAAGTCCTCGGTCTCCTCGGCAGGCTCAGCCCTCGGCCTGCCTTCTTCTTCCTCTAGGGCCTTGGTGGTGATGGTGTCAACTCGAAATTCAGTTTTGCTAACCTTCCTGGTAAGCTGAAGGTAGCAGGCTCTGGAGAGTTTCTGATTCCCCCTCGAGTAACCGATGCCGTTAGGCGTGGGGAACTTGAGGCAGAGATGCCTCATAGAGATGACGGCCTCCAAATCCTCGAGGGCGGGCCGGCCGAGGATGATGTTGTGTGCGCAGTCGAGGTTGACGACGACAAATTCCACTTCGAGCTTGGCTTTATGGGATCCGTCGCCGAATTCGACCATGAGTGTGATGACGCCCTCGGCGTCGATGCTATCCCCCGTGAATCCGGAGAGGGGGGTGTTGATGTGTCGGAGGGACCCTCTGTCGAGTCCCAACTCTTGAAAAGTGCTGAGATACATGACGTTGACGGAACTCCCCGTGTCGACGTATGTCCGGTGGATGATGGCGTCATTGATCTCAGTGCGAATGACGAGGGCATCCCTATGTGGCAGGGAGCCCGAAGGTAGGTCTGCATCTGTGAAGAAGATGGGTTCCCCCCTCGGCCTCTTAGTTGGGGGCACGTGGCTGACCTCCCCAACGTAAAGGGATTGAGCCCACTTCTTCCGCTGGCTGGTGGAGTCTCCACCAGTGTTGCCACCATTAATCATGTGGATGTGGCGCTTGTATTGTTGGTGGGAGCCCTCTCCCTCGTCGTCGAGGCCCCCAATTTCACGTTTCTTCCCCTGTGGGTTTCCCAAGGGGATGGTGTTGGGGTTCACCCACTTGTTCGCCTTCGGCGGAGGGCCTTGATGATGTGGGGGGCCCTGGGGAGGAGGGCCCCGGATAAACTGAGACAAGTGGCCCGCCTGTATCAGCCTCTCAATTGCGTTCTTCAGTTGGTGGCAGTCGTCGGTCTTGTGCCCGTGGTGGCGGTGAAAGCGGCAGTAGGGCTCATCAGGACCGATGGCATAAATCTCGAGGGGTGTGCGGGAGTCTCGCTCAACGAGCCCCCGCTCTTCCGCATGATCAAGAATGACGCTGACGGGGTGCGTCAGGGGAGTGCGTGGGTGCTCCAGGAGGACGGGTTGTGCCCATGCCTTCGGATTATTTTTGTAACCGCCCCCGGTTCTGGCTTGGCCACCCCGGGGGCGATCATTATATTGAGCTTCTCGGTTGGCCGGAGGGGGAGGCCCTCCGGGTCGATTCCTGCCCTCATTCTTCTGAGAAGGCTCCGTGTTGCGGCGGTCCTTCTCGATTTCCTCCGCTTCAGCATATCGGTCCCCCCGCTGAAGGGCCTTTGTATAATCGCGGGGGGGATCAGTGATGAGGCTCCGGGAGAAGTTACCGTTGCGGAGGACGGTGTGGAAGAGGGCCATTAGCGTCCGGTCATCAGCGCCTTCGACCTCGAGGGAGGCCTGCCTCCAGCGTTCCAGGAAACTCCGAAGGGTTTCCTCCTTCTGTTGTCTCACATTCAGGAGGTGGGAGAAGTGTTTCTTTGAGCGGTGCCTCCCGGCGAACTGCGTAAGGAAGCGGTGGGCAAGTTCTTGCCAAGAATCAATGCTGCCTTCGGGCAATCGGTTGAACCACTCATACGCTGGTCCCTCCAAAGTGGAAAGGAACCAACGGCATAAGTATTCATCCGATGCCCCCATCATCATCATGCTGTTTTGATAACGGCTATAGTGCTCCTGGGGATCCGTCTTCCCCTCATACGGTTTGATAGGTTGCCCCCGATATTTGTGGGGGATTTTGGCCGCCAACACCCTTGGGGTGAAAGGCGTCCTAGTGCGGAGCTGAATGAGGGGCTCGCCGGAGCCTTCGGCCAGTTTACGTTTCATTTCCTCCACCTGTGCCCGGAGGTCAGCGTACTCCGGATCTGGCCTTGCTGTGGAAGCCGTCGGGGGAGCCTGACGATTCTCCTCAAGTTGACGGAGGAGGGCTTCGATGATTTCGTCCTTCGGATCCTTCGGAGCAACCCCTTGGGAGTTGGCCCGGAAGGATTGCGCCTGATTGATCTGGTGTCTGGCGTCATCGGCATGGAGGATGGCTTTGCCCTTGCTCCGGGGCGGGGGTATGCCCTCGGCTCCCGAAGCGGAGGCTCCGCTCTCCTGAGGCCTGCTGAGCGCTTGTTTCCCGAGGCGGTCTTGGACCACTCCGTGCCCGGGAGCTCCCCCGAGCCTCTCAAGTGCAGAGGTTCGGGGCTTCTCCTTCATCATGGGGCGCTTGTCCCTGGACTGGGCCTCTTGGGAGGCGGTATCCTGCGCCATGACCCCCTCGGCATTGCCAATCCCCGGGGGAGGATTGTTGAACAAAGGAGGGAGCGGCGGCAATTGAATAACATTTCCTCCAGTGTAGGGCTGGAGGGGTGTCTGAGAGGCGAGGGCTCCGGAATTGAGAGCCATGCTTTGAACAAAGGCCGCAAAGGCAGCCTGAAGATCGATGGCCGGGGCCGGAGGGGGAACTTGGTTCTCACTCCGATCCCTCCTTCGATTATCAAGGCCAATGCGGGCATCAGGGGTGTTCTTCTGCAGCTGTTGGCGTAGGTCAGCGGTGGCTTGTTCTAATTCGAGGATGACACCGCCCTCGGGTACTAAGAGCCTGTTGGAGGCCTCAGCCCCGTTAGTTTCGCCAGGGGCGACGTGGTTCTCCTCCAGAGTTTTGGATTGGGCACGAGTGGTTCTTCCCATTTTTTGGTAAGTGTTTTGTATTTGGTAGAGGGGGAGGGTTTCTTACTTGATAGTTCAGAGCTCTCAACGAGAGCACCAAATGATGGATAGTCTACCCGGGGGGTATCTTATCCGAGGGGTTATTGCGGGAATAACTAGAGAGAAGTCAGAGCAAAATAGGAGGAGAGAGAGTCGATTTTATTAAATGAACTCGAGATGTGGAGTTGGGATGTAGATTGTGTAGATGATGTCCATTACAAGGAGAAATGGGCTGCTATTTATAGCAGCAATAAATGCGATGGGAGGACACGTGTCAGTAATCCAACGGCCGAAGGGTCACATCAGCCTAGTGGCACCGGCAGTGGTACGTCAACCGCATTGAATGCGGTTGGCGGATGTGACGTGGCATTAAATGCGGTGGTTGGCTGTCTCTAAAAGGAATCTTCGATGATTGAACATGTTTGACCGAAGGCTCCTCGTATAGCCGAGGGCTCCCTGTGCAGCCGAAGGCTCCTCGTGTAGCCGAAGGCTTGGTTCAGCCGAAGGCTTCCCCTGGTGCCGAGGGCATGAGAATGCCGAAGGCTCATGTCTTCGCCCGTTTTTCTCCCAGCAGCATCTTATGCCAGAGAAGGCTATCCTGTGAGTTTTGGAGCCTTCGCCCGAGGAGGCCGAAGGCCCCCCAGTGTGTATTCTGGGCTACTTTGAGGCTTGGGCCGTTGTATTTGGGCCTGAGTTGTTTCTTGGACTCAACGGACTTGTGTAGGAGAAGTAGGAGTCTATGGGCCGGGGGTCCCCGGGCCATATACTCCATCACTATAATATTTATTTTGTTAAATTTCAACATCCGTAACTAAGGAATCTGGGATAAGTTTTGAATCTGTGACATCATCCTTAGGAGTGTCACTGTAATCTCATCAAACCACAACATGCTTCACATTAGTATCTATATGTTAGATGCTCTTGGATATAAATACCATATATTTCTGATGCATCTAAAAAAATTGAAGACATTAAAATTTACACACATGCATGTATTCTTTATCTTATTCTTACATACCCTTTGGTATTTCATTGCAAAACCTTATACGTAATTACGTAGCATAATTTAAGTTATCATGGAGTCATGGGTCATGACTTAATATTTACAGACATCCATGCACAGATGCACTCTCATCACATAAGGAGCAATTCCTAGAACCACATCATATGTATCCAAATTCTTACGTATTAGTGCTAAATTGTTATTTTAAATCATATTTATTTATTGATCTTATTATTTGTTATGTTTTAAAAAAGTATATATTTACCCCGCGAGATGCCTATAACTTTATTTTAACTTTTTAAAACCGTTTGCTCGGCTGCAAGGTGCCTCAACCTTGTTTGACCTTACACGTTACACTGCTAGTAGCACTCCTAAATTAATTCGTGGATATAATGTTTGTAGGAAAACATTGTGCAATAACAAAAAGTACAAGATGTAATTATGCAAATGCCACTATTTTTCTTATAAACCAAACTAATCATAAAATTTGAAGTACAAGATGTAATTATGCAAATGCCACTATTTTTCTTAAGCGCTTTTTTTAACATTTAAGGTTAAGTATTACACTCATATGAAGTCTCACAACTAAAAGTGTCACCTTAAGGCCACTAGAAGCGTCGTTGGGACAACCTCTACAGATTTACATCTTTCACTTCCCAACAACAACATTACCCCAGTGCTGCAAAACTCGGCACTGAAGGAGATGTTGAATGTACATAACCTTAGCCTTGTAGTAAAGCGTAGAGAAATTGTTTCTGAATGACTCATGATGAATCATTTTGCTTTATTACATCTTTCACTTCCCACAATAAATAAAATTAGTAAGAGCTCAATGATATGGTGTAGTTAATGACAATAGTAACTTAATATCTGATGTTTGGCCTGCGCTTAGCAAAGGGGATTTTCTCTCCTTGATGGTCTACAATAGCTGCATCGGTTGTGGTCAGTAGTAGTGAGACACTGCAAACAGAAACGCTTGTTTGTTTTACTTTAATTATTTGTAGAATTGAACAAGAAAAAATTATAATGTTAGTAAAATGTTACTTGGCCATTCTTACCTGGCGGAATCCTCCAACGCTGTTCTAATCACTTTGAGAGGATCAGGGACGGATCCAGGATTTTGGGTCAAGGAGGGCGAAATTTTTCGTTAGTGTAGGGAGTGAAATTTTTTTTCGTTAGTGTAGTGAGACGAAATTTTTTCCCCTAGTGTAGCGGGGCAAAATTTTTTCACTACTGTAGGGCTATGCGGCTATTTTTATTAAAAAAATGACATTAATACATATATATCCCCCAACGACATATAAATCTATTACATTCTAAATTTAGACAATGACAAATACATCAACCAATACATTTTTAATAACTTCTATATTGTTTAATCTTATGAATCGGTTATTGAATTGTAATTTTTGTCCATCAAGGAGGGTGTTCGTGAGTCATGACTCATGAGAAGTTTTCTTAATATTACAATAGTAGTATGTATGAGATTATTATTTTTAGAATAATATGCACCACATACACACACTATATGGTGCATATTATATTTTAATATTTGTAGTAATGCTATAATAATTTAAATTTTATTATCTATGCAATAAATTATTTTTAGAAAGCAAGAAGTAAATGAATTATGTAATTTAATGTCAATAATATTTATATTTTGGATTCATTTCACGTGATCTAAAAACTGTGTAATTAGTGTGTCTGGTATTTAATATTGTTTGATATATATTTTACAAAATTGAGTACTTGTTATCTAATAAAGATAATTACACATTACAAAAATAGGAATTCTTATATAATAAGTATCCTAAATCTTAAACAACGAGTTATGTAAATTATATTAGATGTTCTTTCTTTTAAATATCCAATTAAGTATTACATTATGTAAGACTATATATTAATTTTGAAAATTAAAAACTAAGGGGGGCGAATCTAATTAAATTATGAAAGTTTTATGAAAATATTATATATATGGTACTATGGTAGAAATTTTTCAAAGTCCAAGGGGGGCAGTCGCCCCCCCCCCCCCCCCCCCCCCCCCCGCGCCCCCCCCTAAATCCATCCCTGGAGAGGATCCATAATTCCTTCATTTACCATGTCCACATATTGATCTGCGTATATGATGTGAAGTGCATATTACTTGGGTTTGAATGGAATAACAGTTTTGTAATCTAGGGGGTGTTTGGAACTGATTTTGCTTATAAAAAACTGTTTCTATGATCTATTTGGAGCACCCAAAAGTACTTCTACACTTTCACTCAAACACCCCAATATCTGCTCCTGTAGTTTTAAAAAGTAGATCCAAACACCCCCTAGTTAGTTATGTGAGTGAGGTGTCTATCTGGACGGAGGGTTTTGGAGTTTTTAGTATATCTCGATATACATGGGAGTATACTTTTACGTTTCATAAAATGAGCATGTTAACATTATATGTGATCCTATACCACCATAGCATTTTAATCAACTTTAAGTTGTTTATAGATAGAAGCATTATTCTATTTATCAAGACATAGACTTAGCCACAAAGGGCAAAAACCCTCTACCGAAACAGACATTTGAGATCTAACCTTTGACTGCATCATATCCAAAATTAAGGTTGTCCTGTTCCAAAAGCTTGCCAACAACCAAAGAACCATCTACACCAGCATTTGAAGCTATTGTGAAAGCAGGTGCCTGTTGTAGGAAAGCAAGCCTCCTCAGAACAGAAAGTAACCACTTCTTGTTTAGATATAGTCCTGTGTAGAAGTGTTCTTTCTAAATCCTATTTGCTTTTAGGTGCAATATAAGCATATAAATTGTGTGGTATAAATTTATTTAGAAAGGAAATCAATATTAACCAAACAATTCTTTCCTTAAAAAAACAGGAAGAATTTTTTGAGATGATCAAGAATGAAATGCTGAAGAACATTCATGGATGGAGGAAGTGGTGATAAAAAATACTAGCTTGAAACAACCCTAAGAGCGTTTTCAATTATCTGAACTCCTCTTCTTTGACTTTCGTTTGCAGTCTCAAGTTTTTTCAGAACCCTTGTTGCATGTAAGAGCGCAGCGCCACCACCTAGGAGCAGTATCACCCAATGATTTTTGTTGTAGGAATGGAGGGTTTGGGGGGGGGGGGGGGGGGGGCTTGTTTAGAAAATGGGATTTGAAGTGTATTCTTTATTTATACCAGCAACAATTCCCTCTTCCACAGCAGCCTTGGTTGCATTCAAAGCATCTGTAACCCTGTCCTTCCTATCTCCAACTTCAGCCTCACTTACTCCTCCTACCTAAAATTCCACACAAGGAATAAAAAATGTAGCAAAGAATGCATGAATGAAAAAAACATGTGTGGGTGAGGGCATCAACCATATGACAAAAAAATATACCTTAAAAACAGCAACACCACCAGATAGCTTAGACAATCGCTCATGTGCTTTCTCTTTATCAAACATGGGACCACGCTTATTCATGGCAGCCCGTAGCTGTGTTCAAAGGTGAAAAAACTACCAATTATCATTCATAAGTGCGCCAATTATGCTTTGTTCTATCAATACCTAGTTCAAAATTGAGCAGGCAATGCAAACATAATATTGTCCCTTTGTCCTCGATAAAAGCCAAAGACCAGCTATTTTTTGTCCTCAATGTAAAAAATCATATTTACACTTGAAAATCTTTTTGATGTTTTAACTCGAAAGTTAGTTTATCATATTTAACTTGTTTGCTGGTGTGATTTGGCAAAACCAACTCCAAAAATATCTTTTTTGATTGAATACGATTCTTTTCTGGAAAAAGAACAGAACTTTTAAACATAATTCTTTCAAAATGGGACAGAGCGAGCATCTTGTTTTAAACAAATTTATCCTAGCAGGTATTAGACTGCGACAATTTGAAAATAGAAGAGATCTGGTTCAAATGGTAGAGTTATAAAACCTGATGCAGAAAGCATAACTTTTAAGGAAAGGAAAAGGAGAACATAAAGGGTCACTACCTCCTCGCATCTTTCTTCAATTAGCTTCTTGTCCCCACCTCCATGTAACACTATTGTGTCATCAACATACACTGTGACCTGCTCAAATCGCCAAATACATACTATTCCCTGTCCTAAAAAGGTTCAAATAGAAATATCAAAATTTATACTGCGAAGCTGGATACAAAAACCTTTTTTGCAGTTCCAAGCATATCAAGTGTAACTTTGTCAAGGGTTAAGCCTCGCTCCTCACTAATAACCTGCAGAAAAGATTAGGCATCAGAAAATATAATACTCCGTATAAAAGTATTTATAACAAAAAAAAAATCAAAGAAAGCCACTCACCTGCCCTCCAGTAAGTATTGCAAGGTCCTCCACGTTGGCTCTTCTGTTATCCCCAAAACCAGGAGATTTGATTGCACAAACCTGAAAAGCAACTTACTGGATCATACCAATTCCAGGGATAAAATAGTAAGCTTGTGAAAACTGAAGATGAAATAGGAACCAGAAAATCAGACAATTAAACTCACCTTAACCCCTGCTTTATGTTTGTTGAGAATTAACATTGTTAAAGCATCGCTCTCCAGATCTTCAGCAACAATCAGCAATGCTCTTCTATTCTATATAACGCACCAAAACAAATATCATAAAAAAATAATCTTTTTTGAGCATTTTACTAGTGCCTTGTGGATCTTCTTCATTAATATAAAACTTATTACCTCCACAGCCTTCTCCAACACTTTCATAACAGAGTACAGGTCAGAGATCTTTTTCTCATGAATAAGGATCAAAGGGTTTTCCAGTTCCTGTACAATTAAAGAAACTTTGCATATATTAACTACATGGTCATGTAAACAAATATAGAATTGAGAACAGTAGTTCAACAATTGGAAGAAAACTTTACATACACATTTCTGAGCCTTCACATTCGTGACAAAATAAGGGGATATATAACCACGAGAAAGCTTCATCCCTTCCACGACTTCCAACTCATTATCCATGGTATTCCCGTCCTGCTCAATTAAAAGCTTTCAACTACATGTGCTTACCTTAAAGATAAGGCATATAGAATTTTAAAGAATATGCATGAGCATTACTACTCACAGCAACAGTAATGACTCCATCCTTGCCTACTTTCTCCATTGCCTGTGCTATTAGTTCTCCTATTTCCCTCTCGCCATTTGCAGATATAGTTGCAACCTATTAAGAGATATAGCAATCCAATTTAAAATAAAAAATAAATTAGTTGAGAAAAACTTAAAACAATTACTTGGAATTTGGAAAAAGAAAAAAACAATTAGCTAAATATAAATGATGACTCAATAAACAGGAATCACAAATATATTCTCCCTGCAGTAAAGTGGCATGATGCACAATGACTTAGGAAAAAAAAAGAGACCATCTCCTTCTACATGAGTGCTCTACCTGTGAAATCTCTTCAGGGGTGGTAATAATAACCGCTCTGCTCTTCAGGTCAGCAATTACAGCATCAACAGCCATATTAATTCCAATACGCAAGTCCATTACATTAACACCAGCAGCTAGTCAGCTACTGCTTTACAGCCTTCAGTGTATATCGACTGAGTTAGCACAGTAGCACAAGTGGTACCTGGCATGGCACGGCTTGATGATCAGTATAACTAAATTATAGAGTGACATTACACTATGCTCCCTATGTCCCCAAAAATATTGTGTGGCTGAAATTTATTTAGAAATCAAAGAACTGAAATCAACCACACAATTCTATTAAAGAAACTGGGAGATTATTTTGGGATGAACGAAAAAGGAAAGTGGGAAGATTAGAAGGGGATGCAGTTAGTAATACAATACCTTTTTGTTCCAAAATCAACTTCTCATAAGCTTTTGGCATGCGATTAAAGAAAATGAAACGGTATGATTTGTTATTTATTTATACGTGAGACAATCAATATCAAACACAAAATTCATTTCTTTTTAATGGAAACAAGAATTTGATCCTGGGACAACCTAAAAAGAAGTGATAAAATTATTTGGGGACGGAGGGAGTACAGGATTGTATTATTCAGAGGAGAGCTAGTAATTACCATCTCCAGCAACAGAATTAGTAGCATTAGCAACCTGCTTCACAAGTTCTGCACCAACATTATTTGCCTTTTCCTTAAAGTTAATACTTTTGGCTACTGTGACACCATCCTTTGTCACCTTTGGTTTTCCCCCACTGCTCTCAATAATCACATTACGGCCCTAGAGATTCGTTTAGACAAAAACAATTCCAATTAGGGTGACTGAAATGATATGTATCATGATGGCAGCATAACACACAGTGCACAAGGTATTTCCTATTCTCTCAGCAACTATGAACACACAGTGCACAAGGTATTTCCTATTCTCTGACTAGATATTGCTTCCATGCACGATATTTCAAATGGCTAAAATGTAAGAAAGTTGTTTTAAAAAAACGAACTGCAGGACAAGAGAAAAATTACCTTAGGTCCCATCGTAACCTTCACAGCTTCTGCAAGCTCATTAACACCTTGTAACATGGCCATTCGAGCCTTTGTTCCAAAACTGATATCCTTGGCAGCATAATTTCTGCTGGAATGCTGGATATAACCCTGCTAACTATCTTTACCATACGAACAACAAAGTCAGCAACTACAAAATAAAGAAAGTAGCAAAACAGCTCCACTTAGTACCCAGAAAATTCAGTCCAATCAGATATTTAGATGGCAACAAGAAAAACAAATTTCCCAACACTATGCGTTGACACAGCCTAACATTTCTAGAGCCACAGTTAACTAATGTATAATTAGATTAATAGATTAATCTAATTAGATTAGTGAATATGTAATAGTTTAATTTTTACCTGTTTTCTTGAACAAGATGACCTGGTTAGAAACCAACAGCAGATAATTCAGATATGTTTTCTTGTTTCGAAGAAATTGTAGAGAAAATCAAATGAAAAGTAACAAAAGAAAAACCTGAAGGCTGAAGCAATGGAGAATGCAGCTCTGTACATTGCGAGAGAGTGCTAAAATGGAGAAGCTGAACTTTCAGAGATCAGTGAGCAGTTTCACTGTTTCAGTGGCATCAGCGTTCGTGATGCCGCGGGTTTAAGATAGACCGCGCATATTTTTTTAAGATAGGCCGGACATATTTGTTTCAACTGGGTTTTTATTGGTTCTCGGCATGATTCCGTTTAAAACTGATCAAAAAAATTATTTGTACCCACTTTTGTACACACATTTGTACATCTCCCCTAGTCGTCTGTACGGACAATTCATTAAGAAGAAAGCAGCATTTGTCTCTCAATTGCCTGTACTCAGGCGGTGTACAAAAGTGTGTACACCAAGAATGATTCAAAACTGATTGGTTGGATTCTTTTTGAATTTGCTATTAGCGTTTTTTTTCAAAAACATTGCTTCCTATGTCTCTAAATTATTTTCGAAAGTGAGTAAGGTAGTGAGTATTGCATTATGGATAAGATTTAAAGATATCCCACATGAAAAATTCAATACTCCATATTTCTTATGTTTATATGATTACAAAAATCAAATACGTAGTACTCCATATGACATGTGCATGGGTTAAGATAATACCTCTAGTAGCCCTTACAAGTTATAAAAAGAAATTACGAAGTTAATATTCGAATCTGTTGGAACTTATAAGTTGTGAAACTGTGGAATAAAATAATGCTTTGGACTTTTGGAGTATAAAACGGCGAGAATGCAAATGAAGTGCTTAATTGCTAGTGTGGAGCTACCGTTTGATCTTCTTTCTTATACATGGTGATCAAACCTCAATGTGCTCGTTTCGATTGAATATATCTATGAAAGTAATTTGGTATGTTTTGACAAATCGGGTGTTACTAAAAAACGTTATAAAAATGAGTTAGTTGATAAATAACCAGTTTTTGAATCATACCTTTAATTTTATAAAATGTAGTGTATTTTTCAAAGTGAACTTGTACTCTTAGCATCCTCTATTCATACTTGTCCTTAAAAGAAATAAAAGTTCATTGTTGGGTATTTGGTGTTGTTAGAGTTAATTCAACAGACAATTTCAGTCTTTCAGGAAGCTTAAAAGCCTTTTGGGGCTAAAATGCTAAATCAAGCGGAATGGAGGCACTCTATGATTCCTGTGAATATGTAGTTTTACGTGTAAATATGTAATAAAACGTCTAACATTTAGAGCATGACTAGTCGTGTTAATTGTCACCAAAATTGCTGAATCTGTGAATAGTTCTAAAAGAGAAAGCATTGTAGCATGACATTTAGAGTCTGATTAGTCGTGTTAATTATCACCAAAATTGCTGAATCTGTGAATAGTTCTAAAAGAGAAAAATGTTAGATGTAATTGATTTCAATCAAATAAATCAACCATTCTACTGTTAAGCAGCATAAACCAATTAATGCATCCAAATGAAGCCTAACACTGTAAACCAGCTTCACACGAAGGAAAACAAGCCCACCAATGATCCACTCGGGTGTGAAGGCTTGCTCACAGAATACAAGGCACTTGACTTGTGACTTAAGAGGCAGCAATATTAATGTAAAGTCCATTCTTTGAGTAGAGAACAGTAGTACAATGAATCTACATATCTAAAAATACAGACATGGTAATGCTTCTTGCAATCTTGCCGGTACAAAATCTAAGGACAAGAACAATAAAGAGAGCCTTTTAATTACTCAAAAAAAACAGAAACATAACAAACAAAACAAAACTGAAAAAACATGAACATATATTATAAGTTTGTGTGGTCAGGTGGCATCTGTTGTGTGAAACAGGCTACACTGTCAACACTATCATTCATCTAAATGAGAAATGAGGGCATTTAATAAGCGATCCTTCACATGGTGCTCCCATTGGACGACAAATGAGACAGGCAGGCCACCAAGTACAAATGAGTTTGAACGTGTATGCCAAAGCGAAGACAAAACGGGTGTGGGGGGCTTCACTTTGTTTTCCTATCAATAGTTGCAGGGCTTGAGGATGACTCATCTCCGTTTTCAGAGGTGACCTCGGACGAACCTGTTGATGACAAATCACCATGGTCAATGCCCGGACTCCTCGAACTCTTTGATGAAAGGGTTGTATGATGATTATGTTGAGAATTACCATTTGTTTGACTTTGTCCTTCTTCCGCTAGTTTTTTAAGAAGATTCATCACGGTAGGAAGGAACTTGCTTGATAACGATATAAGTCCAGGAAGCTGTAGAAATTTCAAATCGCAGGTAATAAATTAAATAAGTAAACAAATAAAAAGCACTTCTTAAGAGCGGCAAATCAGTGAAAATGTGAAATCACTAACACAAAATTATGTGCTGTTAGGGACCTAGGTAGTATGGGATACCAAAAGTCCCACACCGAGTAGAATGGGATGCTTGGTGGGGTTCTTAAGTGCCTGGCCCTCTCACCTTAACAGCTAGCTTTTGGGGTGGGGCTCTCCAAGGTGCTTAAGTTCTTAACAATGGTATCAGAGCCGGTTGTCGGCAGGCCAAAAAAGGGGCTACTGGCGGAGGGTTCTGACCGGTGGATCGGCCGAGTGAAGTGCCACCGGGACGTCGGCTTTCTGGGGAGGGTATTGTTAGGGACTTAGTTAGTATGGGATACCAAAAGTCCCACACCGAGTAGAATGGGATGCTTGGTGGGGTTCTTAAGTGCCTGGCTCTCTCACCTTAACAGCTGGCTTTTGGGGTGTGGCTCTCCAAGGTGCTTAAGTTCCTAACATGTGCAAATAAATCAAGTAATTGTTAACTTACGGCGCCATTGCGAAATTCACCAGAGATGTCTAGTTGCACCCAAAGTGCTTTAAATAGCAGATAAGCAACAAAAATGACACCCAAATATAATGGATTCCTGTAACAAGAAAAACAAGATGCTATTCATGTCAAGAACGGTGACAAAAACTAAAATAAAAGAATTCAAGATAGAATAAAAAAGCACCTCAAGAGGGTCATAAACTCATTGAATCCCAAAACAACCATGGCAACAATAGCCCATGGAGGTGGTAACCAATTGTTGCTTCTCTTGCTAGCCTCCTGATTAAAAAAAAACAAGCAATGAGATAAATCTTGAAAAAAATCGAAGTGATGAAATAAACAAAAGAAAAGGTATTTGCATTTAAGAAATTTAAAGATCATGCCTGTGCGGCAATAGCTTGTGTGACAGTATACTCTGTCTCAGTTGTAAATTGTCTCCACAAAGATTTACATTGGACCGGCGTTATTAAGGTTTTTGATTGAGGTACCTGTGGAGGTTAGAATAAACTTAGAGTCAAAGACTATGATGGGGGTGAAAACAAGTAAAAAATATAAAATTGAAATCCTTTGAATCACATTTTCTGTACCACTCCATTATGACTACTTGAAATCGTGTTAACCTTGTTATTATACTCCCTCTATCCTATTGGACTTCGCCAACTTACCTTTTTTGTATGTCCCAAACATTTCGACACTTTGTATAATAAATCATTTGTTATTCTGCTTTTTTTCTCTCCTCTGCACAACTATCAATCACAATTTTTACTTTTCTTATTTACACCTAACCCAAACTTGGCAATGTCCAATGGGGACAGAGGTAATATTAAATAATTAATAGATGGCCAATCAAATGAGTGGTGCACATGGGTACAAGAAATGTGGTACAGAAGATTTGAACTCACTTAAAAGTCAAAACTATGAGAAGTACAACGGTGCAGCCAATCAATCAAGATGCAATTAGTGGAAACGCTTTAACATATAAGAACACTTTTATCAAATTTAATGTTTTGCTGTGCCAAATAATTTACCTCATCCCAAGAGTTTGATGCAAGAGGATCACTTGGAGTGACACTTTTGTTTGCAGCACTGCCTGATTTGCCATCAATCAAAGCAAGGGCAAGAGTGTTTCCAATATTGTCTGATTCTTCATCCAAACGGATAGCAGCCATAACTGAGAGAAGCTTGAGAGACTGAAGAAAAAAATTATTATTATAGGTGCACCATTATAATGGGTGGTCAGACATCACAATATCCAATTAGTCAGATGGTCATACAGATGAACGGGCATTTTTTGTAATTGCTCGAATGTCTTCCTTTCCTGTCCAAATTCTAGGCATTGAATCAGAATCATGGCTAAATAATGTTGTAAACCTGCCACCAATTTTAGAACACTGCTATCAATATTCAAAAAACACATTTAATATTCTAGGAAGCATCAAGAGGACACTGCCAAAAACATTTTAAATACCTGTCTTTCATACGGATCAAAACCCTCCCAGCTTCTTCTTTGGTCTTCGTTTCTACGATTCCTCTTGCATGATCCCTCAACTTCGAAAGCATATTACCTTTGGTTTCAACATCCAACTCAAAGCTAGAAAGCTCTGCAGAAAAACCAGATACTGCAGCTTCAGTCTCACGCCGTAGGAGTTCTCGAATCATTGGCCATGTATCATCTCTAGCTCCATCTAATAGAGCCTCAACAGGTCCTGATAATGCCCCGTTAAGTTTTGCCTGCATAAGAACTCTCAAAAGATAAATTAATCAAGTACATAAAACCTAAACCCATAACAACAACGGAGTTCATATCTCATCTTAAATCCAATCAATAGCTAATGAAACTTTGTTTCTCACTATATATATTAACAAATTACTGCTACCAAAACTTAAAACTAGCACCGTCAGCCAGTGATTAAAGGCTCATAGGTTCAATACCCCCCCCCCCCCCCCCCCCCAAAAAAATATTACACTTGAGCTATACACTTGCATGTTATCAATACCTCATAGGATGCTGTAAGTTTAGCCAGCCTAGCAGCACGGACTTCATCAATATGTGTATCTATATCACGTCTGAGCTTGTCCCTCACTTTGGACGAGTCCCAATTAGCTTGAGCAATGACAGCATCTGCATTAAGTATCAATGCTTATTTTAGATGGCTAGGCGCTAAATCTTCAAACTTATAATAAATTCAGTTATTATTGATACTAAAAGAAAACTACAGCTTCATATATTTCCAAGACAGAATAAGTGAACAGCAACCCCAATGTAAATACAAGTTTTGATTCTTGAATAGGCATAAAGTGAACAGATTTTTCCATAATTTTAATCCTCTCCTTACCATGTTACTTAAAGACTGGGACATTGAATAGGAGAC